AACCACTAGATCCGGGTTCTAGGTCCTAAAACAAGTCCAAAGAACCCAAGATCTCCAATTTCTACTCTAGTTTTACTCAAAATCATCAAAAATCCGGTTTAAACCAAAATAAGTTTTCAAATCCGAAAAACATAGATTCAAGAGAGGTTCTTTCAGTAATCTTACCTCGAATCCTTCTCTTGACGTTGAAAACTCTTTGAAATCGCTCTTGGTTCGAATCCGGTTTTGATTTGAGACACAAATGGGAGAGAGAGAGCACGGAAGTGTGAGAGAGAGAGAGAGAGAGAGAGAGAAACGCACGGGAAAAAAAAGAAAAGGAAAGAAAAGAAAGGAAAAAGAAAAAGAAAAGAAAAGAAAAGAAAAATAAAAGAAAATGACATGTGTAAAATATAACAGTCCAGAAATGCGCCCATACACACTTCTGAATTAAATAAATTACTGTGAATAATTTAAATACTTTGGAATTATTTAAACTCAATTAATTAAATCAGATTAGGCACACTAATAATCTCAATTACCTTAATTAATCTCAATTAATTCTTCAGGGTGTTACACGAAATCTACCCCACAGCTAGTCAGGATCATGACCTGCTTCGTGATAGGTCACCGTCGCGATGGGATCGCGACCTAGGTTACGACTTGTCTTGGTGGGATCGCGACCTGGGTTGCGACATGTCACCATCACGCCCGATCAAGTCGTCGTCACGACGGGGCAGATTTAGTCGCGATGGGTCGAGACAAGTGCGACAAAATCACCGACATAGGCGATATGAGGAGGTAACCCCTCCACCCTCCCCGTGATCAGTAATTTGAACGTTTTCAGAACTAGCGATCTCTTCTCGGCGATGTGTGGATGACTCAGGGCTTGTTCAGTTGCATTTTTGAGTTATGATTACTTGAGTGTAGATCTTGAGTTGAATTTGAGTTATAACTTGAGTTGAAGTTGTAACTTGAATTTGTATTTGGTTGTGTACATTTGAGTTATGGTTTGAGATGAGAATCTTTTTGAGTTTGTGTTTGGGTGTGTCAAAACTTGAGTATGTATTTTGACAGTATTTTAATAAAAACTCAATGATGATGAAAATTTTTAATAAGGCATATTGGTGGGGTTTTATTCGTCTCTTCGTTATCAGAATTAAAATGAAAAATTTATACCGTGTTTAAGAATAGAAAAAATATTGTTCATTAATTTGAGTTTGAGTTTAGAAACTTGAGTTGAAGAGGAAATTAAACTCAAATATTAATCCTAAAACTCAAGTTAAATTCAAATTCAAACTCAAATTTTACAAAAAAGACATAAACTTAAATAAAGTTATAACTTGAATCAATTTTTTTTTTTTTAGTTTGAGCGCAAACGAACAAGCCCTCATCTATTCAATGGTGAACTTACAGGCGTCGTTTATTTTACCGATTCGAGTTTAGAATTTGAAGCTCTCAGAAACAGTAATATTTAACTTTTTATTACAGTAAAAACTCTCACATAAAATCACATCTTAACTCGAATTAAAAACTCAAATCAATGAGCTTATTTTACGGGATGTTTGGTTAGAGGATTCAAACCATTATTTAAATCATGGTTCATAGTTCGCTATAGTATTTTCTCTCACAAAAAATACACATAAATCAAAAATAATTTTAATCACATAAGGTCTATTTAGTTCGTTGATTCGAGTTTTTAATTTGAATTAAGATGTGACTTTATGTAAGAGCTTTTTATTGTAATAAAAAAATTAAATATGACTATTTATGAAAAAAAATTTTATAATAAAACTTAAATCAATAAAATAAATAAACTCATAATTTTAATTTATAAATCAAACGTATCCGTATCCGTATTCACATTTAACAGACCAAAAATACGTTATTGTCTTATAGGTAACCAAAAAGAGGATTCGGTACCGTAGCTTTTTTTTTTTTTTTTGATGACGAGGGCTCTATGGCCTTGCCCGTCCCGTCGTAGTTAATAAAACTCAAATCAATAAAATAAATAAACTCATAATTTTAATTTATAAATCAAACGTATCCGTATTCACATTTAACAGACCAAAAATACGTTATTGTCTTATAGGTAACCAAAAAGAGGATTCGGTACCGTAGCTTTTTTTTTTTTTTTTGATGACGAGGCTCTATGGCCTTGCCCGTCCCGTCGTAGTTTCGAACCTGCAGCTTCTCTACCCCACCCAATTATTATTATTATTTTTTTTCTGAATTATCGATTTAATTTTACTCATTTTATCCATTTCGCACACAAAACGCACAAACCCCGCGCCGCGCCAATTCCCCCGTTTCTTCTCTCCTCTGTATTCTTCCTTTTTTTTTTTCCTTCTTTATTTATATTTTTAATTAATTAATTAATTATTTATTTTCCAATTAAAGTTCAAGAACCCAACCAACTCCTCTTCTCTCTCTCACTCTTTCTTTAAATACACAAAAAATAATTTTCTTGAAAAAAAACACCCAAAAAAAAAAAGAAAGTTGCGTTGTGATTTGTACTTTTTCTCTCTCTCTTTCTCTCTCCGGCGAGACTCTGATCTCGCCGGAATTCCTCTCTTCATCACCGGCGAGACTGTGATTCTCCATTATTTCCGACTCCGACTTCGGCAGAGAATCGCTAAGCGTTTGTCCTTTCGCATGAATTTTTAGAAGAAAAAAAAGGAAAAAGAGGAAAAGAAAATGTTTTCCGTTTCCATTTTCTCTCTCTCCGATTTGCTGTGGTGAATGAATTTGATAATGCAGGTCGAAGAAACGGTTCTGCAGAAGAAAGCTTCTTTAGCTCTGTCGTAATTATCTCTCTCCTTCCCTCTCTCTCTCTCTCTCTCTCCTGAGAATTTTGCCTTGTCTGTGGATTTTCGTTCACTTCTGTGTCGATTTTTCCAGCGAGAAAATTTTGTTGAGAAAGAGAGCTAGCGAAATTTGGGTATTTTCTGAATTTTTGTTTTTTTATTCCAGCGACAAAATGGTCGAGGTGGTGATTAGTTGCCGCCGGTGAAGCTCTGTTGCCTTAGGGTTAGATCCTCTTCTCTTTTGCTCTCCTACAATTTCTTGTTAAATTTTGTTGCAGAATTTTGGAACTTTAATTCTGATTTCTTAATTTTGGAGAGTCAAATTTTGGACTGGTTCCCAATTACGATTAAATTCTTCTCTTCCTTTCCATTTTTTTTGGGGTTCTCTTTTCTGTTTCTGTAACTGATTAAATTTCCGTTTTAATTTGTGATTTTTTTTGGGTCAAGTTTGATCCTTTTCATTTCCTACCAATTTTCTCGGCAACCAAACGGAGACTATCTTGTTTGGTAGTTGGTAGGTAAACAAAGAGGTTTTTTCTTTCTCAAGTTTTTACCTTGAATTACGGAATAAATGACGAAACCATAAGACCAATTGCCCTTTTCAACGCTTTCAGTTAATAGTCTGCTGGGTTTCTGTTTTATTCTTCAATACGAGTTTATTTTTATTTTTATTTTTCAATTCTATGTAGATGAGGACCTTGTAGTGTAGAGACAGTCCATAAGTGATTAAATAGTTGGGATTTTTTTTTTTTATTTTCTCTGGTGAAATCTCTGGTTTCTGAACCGCAAAAAATGCCATCTGAAATAATGGAAAAAAGAGGCGTACACGCCTCCTCCCACTTCTTTGAAGAAATTTGTTTTCCTTCTGAGGTACTTGTTGTTTTATGAAGTTCTTTTTCTTTAATCCATATATTTGCCGAATTTGCTTATTTTTCTGTTGAAAGGATAATGTTCACCCATTGCCTAGTTCTAATCCTTTTTGTTGTGTACTTTTTGGTTGCAACTTTCATCGGGCAGAAACAAGTCCGGAAACTGAAAACCATGTCTGATCGTCACCGAGGTAAGAACTAGTAATCACCACTTGAAGATTTCTGAATTGATCTGTGTAGAAATGACATGTGCAGTTATAATCTATTTTGAAATTGCAGACTTGTTTTTAAAAATTTGATTCTTGGAAGATTTTACAACCGTAGGAATGTCCTTATTTGTTTACTTATATATTATTCTCGAAAGGGGGTGAAGGTATTGGTTGTATATTAGGAACTCCTGAATTGCGTCAATGAATGAAATGATCAATTCAAAAAGCTTGCCGAAACTTCCTAATGAACTACTGTATATGGTTTATTGGGCAGTTTGAATGTATTTCCGGAATCACAACTAAGTTCCAGATATTCTTTTTTAGGTGTAGTTAGAATATATTTGCATTAGTTTCGTCAAACCATTTGTTGAGTGTACAAAAACTGGTACGTGCCAACTCCGAAGAGAGATTCCTTTGCTATGAATGAATTGTTGAGTTTTTAAATCTCAAGTTGAGTTTGTAAGCAACACAAAAAGTTGTAGTAAGCCTTAAAGAAAACATGATATGAATACATTGATTGAAATGTGGAAACATGCTATGAATCCATACATCCAAATGCAGAAACGTGCTTGAATCCATAGATCGAGGTGTGGTATATTATGTTTTTCCCTTTTCTTCGTTTCCCCCCTTTTTTCCCAAGCTAAAGCACTAAATCAACCTCTTTAGGAAAATGCAATGTTGTTACTGCGTAGTTAATTTAGCAGGTGTTCTCTTAAACGTATTTCATTTTGTAGGTGTAATGCTTTGGTAAACGTTTAAAAGTATTCTTTTACATTATCATGGTCAATGTTTTTGTTCTTTTTCCTCTTTGGCTTTTTTCTCGTTGCATGCATGTTCAATTTGGTATGTGTTATGTCAACATGTACGGGTAAAGACTCTATGTGATGTACCTTTTTTTTTGTTCGTCTTTAAAAAACTTGGCATATGTAGTTGTGGATATTGCTTGATGGCATTCATGTCATGTGTCTGTTTTAGTTATTGAGGAAATATGCATTACTAGAGTTCTTAATTACAATATTGTATTATTGTATGCGTGGAATGACATTTCCATGCTATTTTTGATTTCTTATATTGGCTGTGCAATTGTTTTTCCTCTTCGCTAGAAGGGTTTTGAATCTTGCCTTAGTGCCTTAACGCTCAAATTCTTCTATATTATCAAGCAACAGAGCGTTTCTTTTCCCTTTTGGTGTGTATGTGCGTCTACTGGGGAAGGTGGGGACAGAGGGAGTGCTTTTCCTGTAATTCATGAACATCTAGGGTTTTCACATGGAAAAATGCTATGGGAGAAAGATTATCAATGATTACATGTTGTGCAATTATTTAAGATTATCAATGATCACATATTTTGCAATTATTTTTCTCAGTTGGAATGGAAGGAATGATAGCAGTCCCTGGAAGCAAGTTGGATTCCATCTCACCCTTGGAAAAAATTTTACCAGTTGTGGGACGGTCAGTGCATCGCTTGGAGATACCACAGTCCAATCTTGTCCGAGTACAAGCAGAAAGGCAAAGTATTGGTGGAGAAGGAATTTCTAATGTCCCCAGAGCTTCATGGAAACCTATGGATCACGATCTAAAGTTGTGGTCTGATTTGTGTGCGAAGCCAGCATCTTATAGTTTGGATGGAGAGAAAAATCTTATTCATGGGTTTCAGCATGAAAGTAGTCTGTTCTCAAGCTCATTGTCTGACATTTTTTGTAGAAAGTGTAAGCTTCTTATTTCATGTCTATTAAAAAGGGTTATCCATATTAGGCAGACTTATAATTTTATTTTATCTTCTATTTTTTTTAATCAAAATCAGATATTTCCATGGATCTAAAATTCTGTAGTTGCATTGACGACTATATTAATTTGGAAATTTGTACTCTTTCTTACTAAATATGCATACAGAAGGAATTACGAACTCGATTTCTCTTAGAGACTTGGCTTTAGTCCAGATTTAATAGGCCTTTCGCTTTAGATGCTAATGGTACTTGCCGTGCTTCTAGTAACTTGTTGAAAATCCATTCACACGTATTTTCTTATTTTTCTTGTGATTCTATATGTTTCTTTTCTTATTCATTATGAGGGACTGTACTTGCGTTAAATTTGTGACTGCCTTAGTTGAGTTGACTGCACATGCTTTATTAACAACACGCACAAATGGGGAAACAGAAAGGCTTCCGTTTTTTCTTTACTCTAAACTGCAGTTGGATACACTTTGCAATTTAAATTTGCAGTCATTTCCTAAGATTGGGGCTTCTAGGAAGTTTAGGTACCTTGGGTCTATAGTGCAGTACGAAACAGATATAGAAGAGGATATTCAACATAGGATTAAGGCAGGGCCGGTTAAGTGGGAGAATGCTACGGGAGTTTTATGTGATGACAAAATACTTATTAAGTTGAAAGGAAAGTTCTATAGGACTGTAATCCGCCCAGCTATGTTGTATGGTAGTGAATGTTGGGCCATTAAGAGACAACATATATCTAAGATGAGTGTGGCAGAAATGCGTATGTTAAGATGGATGAGTGGCCATACGAGAATGGATCGCATAAAGAATGAAGTTATTCGTAGTAAAGTAGGTGTAGCACATAGAAGATAAGGTGTGCGAAGGCCGCTTGAGGTGGTTCGGGCATGTCCAACGTAGACCGTTAGAAGCACCAGTTCATGCTTGGGAGGACATTCTTATACCTAATACTAGGAGAGGGAGGGGCAGACCAAGAATTATGTGGACCGAAGTCGTTAGGAAAGACATTCTAGATCTAGGCCTTCAGGAAAGTTTAATTTCAAATAGAGCCGTGTGGAAAAGTGAAATCCATATAGCCGACCCCAATTAAATTGGGATTAAGGCTTGTTGTTGTTGTTGTTGTTGATAGTCATTTCCTAACTTTTATGTATTCATTGCTTATGCAGTGAAATTGTCATCGAATGATGACACCTATCGTCAGCCTGCCAAGACTGTTGTTTCCAACTATGAAAAAGAACCTTTGAAGGATTTTGAAGAAAATGACAAGCAAACTATTGGGAATCTTCTTCCTGATGAAGATGATCTCTTTACTGGTATGACTGACGTGCTGGGACACTGTGCTCAGGCAAATAGCGGTGATGAATTGGAAGACTTTGATCTGTTTAGCAATGGTGGGGGCTTGGAATTAGGAGAGGATCGTTTATCTACGGTCCATCAGAAATACAATCTTGTTGGGGTGGGTTGTAATGGGTCAGTAGTTGGTGAACACTCTTGCGGTGAACACCCTTCTAGAACACTTTTTGTCAGAAATATCAGTAGCAGTATTGAAGATTCTGAGTTAAAAGCTCTTTTTGAGGTGCTCATACCTCCTTCATCATCTCCATCTTCTTGTTAAGGACTCCATGCAACCAAGTCGCATTAGTTTACCTTGCGTGTTAAATTGACGAGTGTTTTTTCTTCTGTCAGCGATACGGAGATATACGGACTCTGTACACAGCCTGCAAGCACCGTGGTTTTGTTATGATCTCTTACTATGATATAAGGGCAGCTCAAAATGCGATGAGGACACTTCAAAATAAGCCACTGAAGCATAGGAACCTTGACATACATTATTCAATACCTAAGGTAATGGTGGTCACATTGCATCCTCACAAGTTTACTTGCTTGTTTTGGTTCTTCCACCCTACCAATCTTGTCCACCATACCCTGGTCAGAACATTTTGCGCTAAATTAAATATTTGTCCCATTCTCATGATGCTTTCTACTTGCTAATTTGTTAGGATAATGCTTCTGAGAAAGATATTAGTGAGGGAATATTGCTGGTATTTAACCTTGATTCCTCTATTTCAAACGATGAGCTTCTTCAAATTTTTGGGGTTTATGGAGAAATTAAACAAGTAAGTAGTTCATATGTTTCCCATTTTTATCCTGCTTCAATCATAAAACGGTCGATAGACCATTTAATATTATTGGTTTCTACGTTTTCCAGATTCGGGAAACTTCAGACAAGCATAATAGCAAGTTTATTGAATTTTATGATGTTAGAGCTGCAGAAATGGCTCTTTGCGCAATGAATAAGACAAACATTGCTGATAAGGAGATTAAGCTTGAACCAGGCTATCCTGGTGGTGCCAGGCAGGGGTATCATTTACATATTTTTACTTCCTCTTGATAACCTATAAACTTATTACACTTTTAGGTTGTTTTGGATGTTAATCATTAGACCTTAAGATTAACTGGGTTGGTTTTTTTGTTGGGGTTTTAATTTTAATTTTAAAACACTGTTTTTCAATTTTTTTTAATTTTAATATATATACATCTCACTCTGCGGTTTTGTTTTGCCACTTTTTGGTGCACCCATTTATATTTATGTATTGGTCTCTGTTGTTGTTCTCCTTGTTTGCTTGTATTTTAATTTTGATTTTTTTTAAGTGCACTTTGTAAGAGGGTTATTTTTATTTTTTATTTTTTTAATTGCAGTTTGGTGCATTTGTCCAATTTGAAGCAAGATGATCATGAACCTAAACTTTTTCATAGCTTTTGTGACAACTTATCAACAGGACACAGCGGTATGATGTTCCTGCCTACTAAGGGTTCTTGCAATTTTTTAATTTGAAATAAATAATTTCCTTGTTGATTGGAATTTGAAACTGTCTTTGCAGCAAAAGTATCTCCTGGAGGAATTGCGTCAAGCTGCATGGTTATTGGTTCTAACAAGGACTTCCATTCTCCGTTCCGGACACCTACAAGCACATCTGTTGAAAATGCTTTCTGTCATTATAGTTCTAGTCTTCCTAATACTTTGCCCTCCCCGCTGAGAATGACATCTGCTAGCAAACAATTTGGTTTTTGCGAGTCCAGTAACTCTCTGGATGAGGTTAAGTTTGGTAACCAAGGAATTCACAGTTTCCATCCCCATTCCTTTCCTGAGAATCATGATGGTTTAGCCCATGGTATTCCATGTAACCCTCCAACTTCTATTCCAAACTTGACTAATCTGGGCCTTGGAATAACCGAAGGATACATCAGTCGCGTTCATGGTGTCAATACAAATCAGCTCCCAAGGGAACTTAAAGGAGGTAGGTTTAGTCTACTGTTTTTATTTTGCAGATATATTTTTGGTTTCAATCTTTGATCAATTAGCTAAACCTTGTTGGTCTCTTGACTGTTTCCTCTTCTCCTCTTCCTGGGATCACCCAACCTTAGTTGTATACAGTATCTCATGTAATATTGCCATCCATTTTTAATAATCCGGGTGTGATATTTTAACTATCTAACACTCTTTTCAATTATAATCAGAAAGCTATAGTTCTTTGCCCTGTTTATTTTGGTTAGTCACCCGTTTTTAGTTTTTATTGTCATTTTATTTACTTTTCCAGCCTCTTGTTTGGTACTTAATTTTAGCCTTGTTTTCATCATTCGGTTGAATTTGGTATTAACAAACCATTGCTTGTAGTTTTTGGATCTTCTGGAAGTAGGAGCAATCCTGTTCACGAACATCATCTGGCATGGAATAATTCAGGCTCATTTCAGCAACATCCTTCAAATTCTATGGCGTTGCGGAATTCACCCTCGTTTGTCAATGGTCTTCATGCGCATCGCTTTCCTCAGACACCTGGATTTCCTAGAGCTGCACCTCCAATACTGAATTCTCCTACACCTTTACCCCACCACATTGGATCAGCACCAGCTGTTAATCCTTCGCTCTGGGAACGGCATGCCTATTCTCCAGTAACCTCTGGTCTCCATCTTGGTTCTCTTGGGAGTGCAGGTTTTCCTGGTAGTCCTCAATTGCATTTTATGGATGTATCTTCTCATAAAATGTTTTCTCAAGTCGTTGGAAATGGCGTAGACATGACTATAAATGGCGCGCAACACTCTTCCCATCATAGCTGTCACATATTTCCTGGGAGAAATCCAATGACTTCGATGCCTTCTTCCTTTGATTCTCTGCGTGAAAGTGCAAGAAATCTCTCTCACCGAAGAAATGAAGCTAATTCTAACAACGTGGACAAGAGACAATACGAGCTTGATGTTGACCGCTTAGCTCATGGGGAAGACAGCCGAACAACGCTGATGATTAAGAACATTCCCAACAAGTACGTGTTCCCCTTACTAAACTGATTACTAAAATATCTTGTTTTTTCTGTCATATTATATTTGATATATGATATGATATATTCTATTTTGGGTAAACCTTGAACAGCTCGGCTTAATTCCATTGACAAATTTGTAATGATTTAGAAAGCAGACATATCTTTGTTATGTAATTCTAGCATAATCACATCTCTGTGTTTAATCCAAGATTGGCCTTTTGTTTGTGCATCTCCAAGTGTCTTCTTCTGAAACCCTTAGAAGTCGTGAGCCTCCCTTTTTTTTTTTGTTTGTTTTAAAAAAAGGTGATCCTAATATTGTAGGAGGCATTGCACTTAATTTAGATGAGGGGCAGCAGGTGCTTATAATCTAATATACATACAACTTACAAGTGCCTTCAAAATGTTGGGTTAAAACTTTGGAGATAATTTTGCCGCTATTCTATTATGAGAGGATTGCGTTACAAACCCATTACGTAGAAATCACCCTTGCAAAAGCTTGCAAGGAGAGTGGACTTAAGAGCTTATAAAATCTCTAATCATAATATATTTATTCCATGTGGGATTTTTGGTATCTAACAGATTGCTATAGTATATCTGCACAACCATGCCACTATGTTTAAATCATAAAATAAGTGACGTTTTTTGTTCCAGTGGTATACAATGCCCTTCTCTTGAACAGATTACTGGTCTTACAGGTACACTTCAAAGATGCTTCTTGCTGCAATTGATGAGTACTGTCGCGGAACTTACGACTTTCTTTATTTGCCAATTGACTTTAAGGTAAGCAAATTACTTGTAAATCACTTTTTCTTATGGAAAAAGAATTTTTATTCATTTATTTTGCTTGTATTATGTTAACATCTTTGACAGAACAAGTGCAATGTGGGGTATGCGTTCATCAACATGATTGATCCGCGTCAAATTATTCCATTCCATCAGGTTCTATTCATCAAAATGGTTTTTTTCTTGTAGTTTCAGTTATCTATTGAAAATGGTGGTTCTTTCATGATATCTGGTTGTTAGGCTTCTGCTTTTTAAGCAAATAGTGATATAGAGGACATATCTTTTTCAGGCATTCAATGGCAAAAAATGGGAGAAGTTTAACAGTGAAAAGGTGGCATCTCTTGCATATGCTCGTATTCAAGGAAAAACTGCTCTCATTTCCCATTTTCAGAATTCAAGCTTAATGAATGAGGATAAACGATGTCGACCAATTCTGTTCCATACTGATGGTCCTAATGCTGGTGATCCGGTAAGATATCTTGGCATCAAGTTGAAAGGTTAATTTTCTTTATGATTTCCTAGTAATGTTTTCATAAATACAAGTAGTTTTTAACTTTTTGAGTTTAGAATTTGAGTTTTGCTATAGTAAAAAGCTCTCAGAAACAGTCACATCTAACTTTTTTGTTACAGTAAAAAGCTACATAAAATCATATCTCAACTCGAATTAAAAACTCGAGTCAGCGAACTAAACGGGAGCTAAACAATTTCACGTCTTTTTTCCTAAATGCTGCAAGAGGGAAAACTCAAAAAAGTTTTGCACTTGGTTTGGATGAGAATGGTGTGGTGACTTGTTTGGTAAGGACAGGAATACTGGGTGGAAAAAAGCATTAGTGGTTGATGACCCTATCATTTTTAGTCTATCCATAGATGGAGATATTATTCAGAAGAAAACTTGAAACTGATTTTTGACATAGTAAATTTAGTTATTTGAACAAAAACAACATATTTTTATCATTCTTATTTTCTGTCCCTTGTACTTCTTCTCTTCCTCCCTTAGGGGAATGGGCACTTCTCCTTCTATGTACAAAAGGAGAATAATATACAAAACTGAGAAAATTCAATTTCAACACATAAAGATCACTATCAGCTGTGTGTCGTGATAGAAATCTTCTGAAGTTATCAAAGTTGAACTCTGAGTTCAGGGGTGGGGTAACCCGTAATCCACAAGTTGTATTAAACTACAATTTAGTAACTTTTTGAGTGTCAAAATGGATTGAAAATGACCTATCTTTTCCACTGCAGGAGCCCTTCCCCATGGGCACCAATATCCGATCAAGACCAGGAAGAACTCGAGCGAGCGGCAATGAGGATGAGAACCCTTCAGCACCTGCAAGCCGAGAGGAAAATTTTGGTGGACTCGATTCGACATCAGGTTCCTCAAAGGACTCTGACTAGTGAACTGGTCAAACGCGAGACTGACTATGACTACAAAACATAATATCAGGGTATAAACACCATATCTACCTCAATTATATATTATCATCAATGGTGGTCTATCCACTTTCCTTTTTTTTATTTTTTTTTTATTTTTTATTTTGGCTATAGAGAAGAACTTCTGCAATTTTTGAATACTGAAAGCAGCAATTTTACCAAACTTATCCCCTAATTATCCGAAATTCTACATATTGAGGCCAGAGGGTCCAAGTTTTGCACATTCGTGGAATGTACACCTTTTCAGTGTACAGAAGATCCTCTAAAATATGTTCTAAGGTCGTCTTTCTTTTGACATTTGCCCTTCTCCTTGTGGGCTCTGTTTTTGGTTGGTCAAGGAGAGAGATAGAAAGCCACACAGCAAGCAGATTCTGACAATATTCCAGTTAAAATTTTTGTACTAATATATGATTCGACTCATTGTAATGTATTGTATGGGATTGTCGTTTTTTCTTGGCCTCTTTGGCTTTTGTACTGCTCTTAATTTCAGTTGAGCGATGGCCAAAACTTCTACCTCAACATTGTGATTCTTATTTTGCTGAATTGATGTTGATTTGCATTTGAGATTTTTGTTTTGGTTCTTTTACCATTTTCCCCCCTGGTTACTCTCTCTCTCATTGTAGTATACTAGTATTGACACAACTGTCTGTTGATTTAAGGATCACTGTTTGTTTACAAACAACTTGGTGTAAATGGCAGTTTCTTCCCCCACCATAGTCACTAGCTTGACTGTAAAATCCGGTACTCGTATTTATCCAATCAAATATAGTCTCAAATTTCAGCTGGAGGCTTGGCCTGTGGCCAACAATGAAGCAGTGATTGTAGATTTGCAGTACAGAATTGACGTGAAAGACATCTTTAAGGAGACGTTTGGTAGGAAAATTTATACCATGAATTAAATCATGATTCATGGTTCGCTACAGTATTCTCTTATAAAAAATACACGGTTCGCTACAGTATTCTCTTATAAAAAATACACGTAAGTAAAAAATAATTTTAATCTCATGAATTAAATAATTTAGACAGAATAAGCATCAAACAATCAATGTACATGTGATCACCACTATATTGACCAATGATCAAATAATAACTTATGCATTCAAGTACATCCTTTTTTAATTGAATATGTATTTGTACATCAATTTTTTGACAACAATGACTCTACCAAGCTTATTTTTAACCAAATTATGACTCATTTTTCCTATGCCACATCTCCCTCATGGTTAAATAATAATTAAAAAAAAAACTGTATTTTATAACTACAATCAGAAGCTCTAACAAAACTCGTAAAGAAAACACCGCCGATCCGCCTCCTCCAGCACCAGCAAAGGTCACTGCAAGATAGAACATTTCCAGTTATTCGACAATATTAAAAGTTGGAACGGTCTAAAAAGCTTCCATAAAAGAACTCACGACTATTGCATAATGATCTTATTTATCAGTTTCCCATTGGAAAGAAGAACGATAGAATGGATTAAAACTATTTCCACTTGTGTTTGCCAGGTCCAGTTTTCTAGTAAACTAACCATTTACAGCGCAACCCAGAAGAACAAACATGATGGCAAATTAAGGTGCACTTGTTTAAATGAAAAATGATAGCAAAACCTTGCTTGCTTTGTGTCAAACTGTTAAAAGTATTGGTATCTTAAACCAATCCTGCTTACTAACAGAAAAATAAGGCCCAGTAAATGGTTTAGAAATACATAGGTTTCCATCCTCTATAATTTGCATTAATGCAACCCCGGGGGAAGCTCGCGCCTGGCTCATGGCGATCTTCATTGTCTTTGCTTCCTGAAACCATGCTTGCCAAGTTCTCAATCTCTGGAAACATCGACAAAAGGCTTGGAGCACTACGTTTCCCTTTTTCCCACTCCTTGTTCCCAACTCTTCTTGTTCTTTTTCCTCACTATTTCAGATTTGATTATCTCTAAGTTATTCTTTTTCCTCGGACTTCTTTGTTTCATGCTTCGCAACCCTTTTCACCTCTTTCAACATTGAACTATACAAAACCAAACGCAACAATCCTTAGTTCCTTCTAACACACCAGGGAATAATTTTACAATTACACCCCCAAAAGTATCAATTACAACTAGAGCTGATAATCACCAAACACATGGGAAGAAACATCACTGGTTGTAATGAATACCAATTTTCTTACAGTTAATATTACCTTTTAAAACTAATTCAACCTTCAAATTCTTCTCTTAACACACACACACACACACACACACACACACACACACACACATATAAGGGTCTTGGTTGGTCTTGGAAAAAATTATTGCCACTACATTTTACATTTATTATTGTCATCTTAATAATACTTACCACAACATGTTTTCTAATCGCCTTACAAGAACATTGAAGCAAAATTTTCTAAATTCCACTATATTCCAGCAAGCAATCCCATGACCAAACAACAAGACCAAAAATTAAAACATACCAATAAAAAAGAAACAGCATAGAAAGAAAAATCCATGTCAAAGTTAGATTCGAAATTAACCTGAATTTCAGGCAACGGCGATAGGTTTAGGCGGGTCAACGGCCTTCTTCATTTTCTGGTCAGAATCTCCGGCAAAATCCTCGAGATTATAAATGACAGTGATGTAAAGCGAACAGCTTGGGCAACGAGCGATCTCCTCGCCGAGTTTGAGATCTTCCTTGGTGATCTGAAACAAGTCTCCGCATGGACATGGGTACGTATACGCCTGGAGCTCCTGGTTCCACTCCATGTCTTCGATCTCCACGTCGTCGTAAGACATCGTTTTAGGCGTCTTCTTGCTTCTTCTAAATCTCCACGGGAGAGGGCGAGACTAAAGAGAATGAAAGTGACTTCAGCTGAAGATTGGTCTAAGGAAAGGAAGAGTGGTGGTTAGTAAACCCTAAACAAAAAAGATCAACATCAAAAACCAAATCAATACCATATTTAAAAGTCTCTCTTCCTCCTTTACGAAAACTTCAAAAGAACCCGAACAAAATCCAATTTTAACCCTTCTATTTTCCCTTCTCATTTCACGTTAAACAATCCTTTCACTCTTCTTTTTCCACCCCCTTTCTTCAATCTCCAATTTATCAGTTTGACTCAATCAATTAACCATTCACAACAACAACAACAAAAATACATATATACATACAATATTTATTTATATGTAACACACACACACACACACACACACATATATATCTGTTGATTAACGAAGAAACACAACAATTCTGTACAAGTGCTATACCTGCATATAATATGAACGCAAAAATTAAAAAAAAAATTTGAATTCACGGTAACAAATCAAAGTTCATCAACCAGAAGAAATCAAAATTCCAACAACCAAAAAAAAAAAAAAATTCCAACAACCAAAACCACAAAGCCGATATATTGCAATTGTAGACCTTTAAAGAATATTCCCTACTTCGATTTGATGAATTTGAACACAAAGCCGATATGCTTACGTTCAGGGTAATATCTCTGATTCTTCACTTGCTTTCGGAGAAAATTAATTTGCAAGAAAAAAAAAATTAAAGGAACCAAAGTACAAAGCTTGCAGCTTATTTTTCAACTAATAAGTTTCATTCCAAAAAAGTATTTCATTAAAAATAAAATTAAAAAAAGAGGGAAAAAAAAAAAACCACTCACTTGATAATGACCTCCTCCTCTGTGGGCGGCGCGGCGGTCCAGACGGGTCGAGTTGAAGAAGATGTAGAGAAGAGAGAAGAAGACATGAGAACTAGCAAAAACTGCACGTGCAAGGCACGTGCATTTGAGTAAATTAAATTTTTTTAATTTTAGTCAGTGTAATTAAATATAAGGAATTAATTAAGTGATAAATGCATAATCGAAAGAGTTAAAAATAAGTCATACATAATTTTGTTTCTTACATGTAGCTTATAGAGTTTCTAAAATAAATTTTCATAAGTTAGCGGGATATGAGATGGATTTTCCCGTTATAAATTTAGAGCACTCACGGTGCTATTTATCCAATTAATTAATTTCATTATAAAATAAATAAATAATTAATTAATCAACACAAGTTACACAACTATATAAAACATGAAGTTAACGTGTGTGTGTATATATACAAAAAAAATTTCCCATATAATATCATGGAAGGAAATGGGATTTTTGAGAAAAGGGGTTGGGAACCATCCAAAGACTGACAACCTGAAACCAAAAAAGTTACATATATCATACTGCTATAGAAGACATGAATATATATATATAATATATATATTATATATCGAAACTGGACTTGTAAATACTAATTTGAGTTAAAGTTGTAATTTGAATAAAATTGAGTAAAGTTGAATAAAGTTAAAACTTAAAAGAACGTGAACTTAAATAAAGTTGTAACTTGAGTTTTAATTTTTTCTGAGTTTTGTTGTAAAATAACAACCCCTAATTTTCTTGCTTAATGGATCTCAAAATTTTATTTATGATCCATTCATGAATCATCACCCAACTAACATGATTGGTGACCTAGAAACTTTTTTCAGTAGACCTTATTGCTGATAATACTAATTTTTGACTATTAAATCTGATCAAAATTATATCAGATTAAAAATTTATGCAGAATAAATAGTTTCTGATACAGATCTGACAGCTAAAAAATAAAGAACTATCGATAACCTATTTTTTTCTATTTTTTCTAATTTTATCTAAAAAAACTCCCTTAAAACTAATTGTAATTGACTATTGAATATTAATTATAGCTTAATTAGGCAAGCATATTGTAACAAGGTCATAAATTATCTAAATCTCCATAATAATTAACATACATAAAATATCTAAACACCAAACATAAATATAATACTACTAGGTTTTCTATGTATATGTATATGTATGGGTGTAGTTTTTAATGATTACTATAATATTTACTTATTAATGAGTATTATTATTTTAATCGTAAGATATTAATCAAACGGTTGTAATAAATTAAATAATTAACTAAAAAATTTTATAATAACTTATGAGATTAAATTTTTATCGCGTTTCATCACTAAATTATTATATTTAATAGTAATCATCAAAAGGAAACGTATTCATTAAAAATTTGTTTGTATATATATATATATATATATTATAAAACATAACATTTGGGCTAATTACTGATATATTAAAGTTCTGTTTATTTCACCGATTTGAGTTTAGAATTTGAGTTTTACTATAGTAAAAATTTATCAAAAATACTTACATTTAACTTTTTTATTATAATAAAAAACTCATATATAAAGTCACATTTCAACTGAAATTAATAAACTAGACGGGTACTAAATACGCGATCTAAACTGATTTTACTTCGTGCCGTATCATGTAACCGTGTTTTTTTCTAAAATTACTGGTCCTCGACATGACCATATTCAAAGAAATTTCAATTAAGAAGGCATCTATTGAACTACAAGCTCGGTAGCTACCAAAAAAAAAAAAAAAAGGAGTAAAACCAACCATCATAGAGAGAAACGACGAGCAAATAGCAAAGGCCGTTGCGTTTTGATGAAATGCCCATTTCATTTCATATTTTGAGCCTTCCTTTTTTCCACTCACACTGATTCATTCCTTCGAGTGTCTTCACAGAAACATTCAAAGCTTTCAGCTTCCCATTTTGCGACTACTACACTTGTCTCAATATTCTCTCCATTTCTATCTCTACAGAGTTGAAAGATTCCTACCTTTTTCTTTTCTTTTCTTTTAAAGGTCTTAATTAGATTTAAATTATTGTTATTTTTCATAGCCCAACATGGAAATTGGAAGCTGAAGCAGCACAGTTTACGCTACAAGGTAAACTCTCTTTTCTTGCTTTCTGGGATTTTATAGTTGGAGATTTTTGTTTTTCTTTCATGAATATTGTAGATAGATGAGAGAGAGAGAGAGTTTATATTATAATTGGAATTTCTTCGGTAAGTTAGCTGAACAGATTTTTTTAGAGTTTTTGGAAATCCACCATGGCAGAAATGAGGATTTTGCAGTTTTCTGGGGGTTTTTTTTTTTATTTCTCGATAAAAAATTTATGCAATTTTGTAGTTGAAGAGTTTATTTATGACTGAAATGTAATCCCTGGCTTGAATTCCAATCTATTTTATTTTCTTTAATTTTCTTGAGAAAGCTAGCCAAACAGATTTTTGAAGGGTTCTTTGGTTCTTTGCTACTATATTATACATGGTTTACTTCATTTCTCATTTTCTCTTTCAAATTGACGATTCAGATGCATAGAAGACTAGTTTCCAGGTTTTCTAATTTGAAGAATCTCAATTGTGGATTCAATCAAACCATATGTTTATCAACACAGAGAGTGCTAAACCCGGTTGCTGATGACGATGCTCTGTACGCCGATGTACCAAAGCCGCGGAGGAATAAGTCCGAGAGGAAGCCGTACCCAACGCCAATGAAGACTTTGATTCGGAGAGCCAAGGAGGAGAGAGTAGCTCGGAAGGCACAGCCCTGCAGGCTGCTCGAACACCCACCTGAGAACGGGCTCTTGGTCCCCCAACTCGTTGCGGTGGCTCACCAAGTCCACCAAGCCCGGGAAACCCTCCTTCTCGGCGTGTCGAAGCTACTTCAGGTCCTTCCCCTTCAGCGCTGTAGGTATTTCAATCATTCAGCTGCTTAAAAGTTCATGGCAATATCAACTTAATTATCGAATGAAATTTCTCCGTTGAAAGAGAAAACTTTGTGGTGGTAAAAGCAAAAAATGTCCTTTTTTCAATCAATCACAAATTCAAATGTCGCCTACGGGACCAACCGATTATGACACATGGTCTCATGCAGTTTTGCATATCAATCTTGAACCTGTTTGAAAAATCAATAGTGACGATCATCACCAGTGATAACTAGCATTTTTTCTCATAAAACAATGGATTCAGCAGGTGTTAAATTTGGTCTAATTGAGTTTTGAGTTATTAGTAGTTGAAAATGCAGATGAATTTAGGAGTCGCTAACTCGTCCCAGTGGCTCGTCGAGTCCATCGAGCGTAGGAGTCGCCTCATGTTGGACTAGTTGGCTATGATATTGTTTGGTTAATGTCTTTGCTATCTCTGTTTCATTTGATTAAATATGTTTTCACTCATTATAAGATTTCAACTTCTCACATTTTCCTACAAGGAGGGACTGAAAAGTTGAATTAATCGTATTGATAGCTTGACTACAATTATCAGATTTTTTAATGCTTTGATATGGATATTTTTGGTCTCTGACTTGTTTGTTTTAGACTTACTACTTAGTTTGATGTTCTAATTTAAAAGAAGAGTGGTTATGATTCTCAGGTACTGCTATGAGGTTCATGTTGGCCAAGCGGGTCATGAGATCCGAACCTGCACAGGTCCAAATAGTGGTTTTCGAAGTGCTAAACATGTATGGAGAAAAGGAGGAGTTCAAGATGTGGTTTTCTTCCCCAAATGCTTCCATCTTTTCGACCGTGTTGGAAAACCAAGAGTAGGGCATGATGAGAGGTATGCTGTACCGCGGATCCCCGCAATTTTGGAGCTATGTATACAGGCTGGAGTCGACCTATATAAGTACCCGACAAAAAGAAGAACAAGACCCGTGTGCTCCATAGAAGGAAGAATTGCAGATTTTGAAGTGATGACGAAAATTGATGAAGTGGAGAGGAACTCAGATTCTAGCGTTCTCGGTTTTCCTGAGCATTTTGTTGCAGGAACCAAACTTGGAGAGTTGGTGGATTCAAATTTGGAAATTGATAATGCGGGTCAAAACCTAAGGGAGTTGGGAATTGGGACATTAGAGTCATGGTTAGAGATGATATCCGGTGTGAAGAAGATCATGGAGACGTACACCGTGTGGACGTGTGGATACTGTCCTGAAGTTCAGGTAGGGCCGAAGGGCCACAAGGTGAGAATGTGCAAGGCCTCGAAGCATCAGTCTCGTAACGGTTTGCACGCGTGGCAAGAAGCAACGATAGAAGATCTCATCGGTCCCAATTATGTTTGGCATGTTCACGACCCGAATGAGCCTGCTCTTGACAACAACCTGAAGAGGTATTATGGCAAGGCGCCGGCTGTGGTGGAGTTGTGTGTGCAGGCAGGAGCACCTGTTCCGGATCAGTATAGGAGTATGATGAGATTGGATGTAGTTCCTCCAGACCGAGATGAAGTCGATCTTGTTGCTTGAACTGCTGTTAGTTTGTCATGAAATTGAATGGTTTACTGACAGCCGGAAAATTTATACATCTTTTTTGCTCCTTCACCATTGTATTAGCTGAAATTTTTGGTCTACTGGATCAAAGAAAATACTAGAGCCATTGTGTGGATTTCGGGTTATCTGTGATTATATTTTAACTTGTCTACCAATCTGATTTCTGATGTCCGTACAATTGTAAAAATCTATAATCTGACTTGTTTGGTAGGAGAGAGAGAGAGTGAAGTGAAGTATAGGGACGGAATGATTCATGGGTTGGGTCTCGTTCACTTCGCGGATTCGAGTTTTTAATTTGAGCTGAGATGTGACATTTTCTGAAAGCTTTTCACTATAGCAAAAAAAGTTAGATGTGACATTTTCTGAAAGCTTTTCACTATAGCAAAAAAAGTTAGATGTGACATTTTCTGAAAGCTTTTCACTATAGCAAAAAAAGTTAGATGTGACATTTTCTGAAAGCTTTTCACTATAGCAAAAAAAGTTAGATGTGACATTTTCTGAAAGCTTTTCACTATAGCAAAAAAAGTTAGATGTGACATTTTCTGAAAGCTTTTCACTATAGCAAAAAAAGTTAGATGTGACATTTTCTGAAAGCTTTTCACTATAGCAAAAAAAGTTAGATGTGACATTTTCTGAAAGCTTTTCACTATAGCAAAAAAAGTTAGATGTGATATTTTCTGAGAGATTTTTATTGTAGAAACCTAAAACTGAAAACTCAAATCGATGAAATGAACGAGGCTTAGACTTATCATTTGTTTAGTTGGAGGGACTACTAAAGGGAATAAGATTGGATGAGCAATCCAAAATCCTCCACCCCTATTTTATATAGATTTCCTTTCTTAATATTTCTTTTTTGCCAAACGCCTCTTTTTCCAAGTTAAAAACGATTTCCTTTTGTGTGGGGGTTGTGATTTAGAGTCCGTTTAGTTTACTGATTTGAGTTGAGATGTAATTTAATATGAGAGTTTTTTACTGTAGTAAAAAAATTAGATGTGACTATTTCTGAGAGTTTTTTACTATAACAAAATTTAAATTCTAAATTCGAATCGGTGAAATGAACATAATTTTACTAAGTTTTTCGATTATAAAAACCGTTAAAACTCATAAAAAAAAGACACAACCTTCTTCTTAACTTTTGAGTACTTTAACTTAGAAGGAAAAAGACACTGACTTTCTTTTTAATTTTAACTCAAAAGAAAAAAGACACGACTTCTTAACCGTTACATTTTAACATGTAAAATTACAAGATTAACTCCTATTAAACGACACATGATTATGTGTCCTTTTTTGTCAAAATTTAAATTATTAGATGGATAACAAGATTAATTTAGAATAATTTTATAAATTAAAAGAGTGTTTGATATGAGAATTTATACTATAATTCATAATTTATTATAATATTTTTTTTTATAAAAAATATAAATAGATTAAAAATAATTTTAAATTATAATTCTAAATTTATGAACTGAAGGTTTCTTAAAAACTCGTTATCAACGTTTTAAAAATCATGAACCGAAGTACCAAAATTGAGTTTAACCCAGTAAACAACGCCAATTACGCTTTTATTTTTTTATTTTTTTCATTCTCTATTTAATTTTCGTAGAAGAGGGGAAAAAAAGGTGTAATAATCACCTATGAGGCGCAACGTTTGCGTTCCCACTATAAAAGAGCGTTTTTGAAAGGAGAAATTGAAATTGGGATTTTCCAGGGAGAGAAATTACAGAACACCAACAACCACAAGAAGAAGAAGAAGAAGAAGAAGGAGATGATGATGATAAAAATGGAGAAAAAGTAAGAAAGCAAGAATCAGATCATCAATGGCGGAGGACAACAGCTATGGAGACAATCGGCAAGAGCAGGAGGAGGCGTTGGTCGCACTCATCGAGCATCGCACCCGCGAAGTTCAACATCTCCGCCACCGCCTTTCGTATTACGAATCTCAGGTCACTTCTCTCGCATCTTCTTCTATACACGTATACGTATTCGTATATATGTATAGGTATACGGTGTTTGTTGCCGAGGGTTTAGGCCAAAAAAAGCTTACAATACTAGCATGTATATATATGTATATACGTATATCAATGATAATGTAGTTATAGCAAGAAAAGTTTTCTTCTTTAGAAATGGTAGCTAATCCTGTGTTTTGAAAGGCCTTTGTTGCTTGTGGAGTTGTGCTTCAATGGCTAATCGTTTATACAATCTTCGTGTGTATATGTATTGAATAGTTTCTTTGGGAAATATTTTTTTATGTATTTATGGAGAAAAAGTTTGCTTCTTTTTGGATTTCCTAGGAATTACAGTCCTCTGGAAAGTTTGATTCTTTTGCTTAAATGGCTGTTAACCGATAATTATTAGTCTGATTGTTTTGCTTTAACACATGAATATGGGCTTGCTTTTGTCAAATATATTTTCAGGATGAAAAATGTATTTCTAATCTTTTATGGTTTTGGATTTTACCCCTGTATCTGCTTATTTGTCATAATCCAGGCCTTAGTTTCTTAAGGAAATTAGTGACTAATAGTAACCAACTCTAAACCCTTACAGCTTGAGGAAGCTGTGAAAAGGTTGCAAGATTCACAGTTCAAGTTGGCTCGTCTTCGAGGCGCAGCGTCATCTACAAAGAACCAAGCTAATGAAACCAAAAGTGTCAAGGTGGAGAGAAGGTCAATTAGTCCTGTCTCTTGCAAACAATCTCAATCTAAAGCAGAACTGGATAATGGAACTAAACGTGTCAAGGTGGAGCCAGCGAGTCCAGTCCATGTTAATGATGGTCCTTCTCGAAAACAACTTCAATCTAAACCAGAACTTTTGATTCCTGCTGTTTTTCAACCTGTAATACCAGCAGCCGCTAAAACTTCACGTAGTTCCACTGCCACCGCGCAAGTCAGCTCATCGGTTTCCAATCACTCTAACAGCCATGCGAAAGAAAAGGGGGATAAAACTCTTAGGATTTCTTCTGACTGTGAAATTGTTCAAAATAAAGAGAAAGGAACTAAACGAAAACTAGGTAAGGACTCACATTTTCATTGGCCTCATTGTACTATTCTTTAGTTACTTCACGTAGTTCCACTGCCACCGCGCAAGTCAGCTCATCGGTTTCCAATCACTCTAACAGCCATGCGAAAGAAAAGGGGGATAAAACTCTTAGGATTTCTTCTGACTGTGAAATTGTTCAAAATAAAGAGAAAGGAACTAAACGAAAACTAGGTAAGGACTCACATTTTCATTGGCCTCATTGTACTATTCTTTAGTTTATCAAATGTGAACCTCTTGAGATACTATGTGCATAACTTTCTCTCTTGTATTGAGCTATATTTACTTTCATGTGCATTTTTGGTCTTTTTTTCACGATTCTTTTATTTGCCAGAACACAAAGAACATAAAGAGTTAATTCCACTCGTGTGTAATAGCTCTAAACCATGCATTATTCGGTGTGACACAAGCAATCATATCTCGAGTCAGCACAAGAGGAAATTGAGAGCTCTTGCTTTATGTCCAGTCAACGATCAGCTTTTCGTGACAAGGTAATCATAAATTATGTGGAACCTTTCGATTAAATTATGTTGCTACATTGAATCTTATGGACCCTCTTCCAGTCTTTTTTTTTGTTTTTTTGTTTTTTTTGTTTTTGTTTTTGTTTTTTTCAAAATAAGGTTATGCTGATAGATGTATGGGTTTTACTTTGCTATTATAAGTTTATACTATTACAAGTGCATCTTTTGCACTGGCTTTTTGCAAACTAGCTTTAGAAGGATCGCGGTTATTTAGAGCTAGAATTTAAAAACCATTAATATGTTTTGGCTAATGTTGTTTTCAAATATGTCTCTCAAAGGCAAGACTTTAATATACTTTGCAATAGAAGTGGAACATGCTTGCTTAAATCTAAGCCATTGTTCATGACATGTACATCTATTGCTATCTGGTTAAGGAGAGTAATTATTTCGAGTGAAAGAATGATGAAAAGTACACTTGTGAAGGATAAGTTTTTAGTTTTCTCTGGACATAAGAGATACATCTAGCGCTATGCAGTTAAGGAGTTTACCTCAAGCTTTGTGCGTGTCTCTTTTTGTTTGATACTCATTCAACACCGTATCATGTTACCAATTACACATTAACTATGGCTATTCTGTCTTTAAATACTTAAATTTTCTTTTTCAAGTACATTATGAATTCAGGAATCTAATTTGTGGTCATGTTTTGAATGTTTGCAGTGCTTTGGATGGAGTGGTCAATTTGTGGCAAGTTCATTCCAGGGGGTAAAATGTCAAACTTGTTAGACCTTTCTTTTCTTACAACATTTACTTTTACCTTTTACCTTTTTCTTTTTTTCCCCTCAACCGGACCAAAGTCGAGCTAAATAAGATAAAAAGGCAGTACAAATGGACTTACAACTAGCATGTAAGAATTGCATTCAGGCATTACATTGTTGGCTGATAAATTTACTTCTTGACAATCAAGGAATTGTTCTTCTTCTCTTTTTTGTTGTTGTTGTTGTTGTTGTTGTTGTTGTTGTTGTTGCTAGTAGACGATCAAAGAATTGTTAAGTATTGTGTACCTAGATCCAGATTTGGTTTCCTTGTTAGCACTGAATGATGTAGAGGAGCGCTAGGATATGCCTTTTGGAGCAGCCTTGTTGAAAAATTAATGTAGAAAGTTGATTAGGTCTGTGAACTGGTCATCTTTCTTGAAATATATCCCATCACTCTCTGTAGAAAGGTCAAAGTTCTACTATGTTTGAAATCTTTCTTGCTGGTCATAGGCGTTTTGTGCTTTTCAGTAATTGCTTTTCCTGTTTGTACTTTATTGGAGTGCAGTTCAGGTGCATCCCTACTTAGTACCACCGATTGCTCATCCCAAAAACAAAGGAGATGGCCGGAAGATATAGCCTGGCACCCAGAGGGGAACTCTCTATTTTCTATATATAGTGCTGATGGTGGGGATTCTCAGATATCCATTCTAGATCTGAATAGAACACAAGGGGTAAGGCGAAACTTGTGCCCTTCTTTTTTTTTTTTTTTTTTTTTGCTCAAGTCATTTTAGTAAAACAGAATTGCTAATGCTAGACATGTAAATTGATCTAAAGTACTAAAATGTGGAAACATCCTTCTTAACGCCATGTTTTTTTTTTTTTTCCCCTGAATAATTATTGTTAATAAGAAAAACTCTTATTCTATTTTGTATTCATATCGATAGAGGGCTAGGGTTACTTTCTTGGAAGATAAGCCTCATGTGAAGGGTATTATTAACGGTATAAATTTCATGCCCTGGGAAAATGCTTGTTTTGTCACCGGTGGCTGTGATCATGCCGTTATACTTTGGGATGAGAAAGATGACAATGTGTGGAAACCAAAGGCGTTGCACAGGAACTTTCATTCTTCCGCTGTCATGGGCGTTGCTGGGATGGAACAAAAGCAGATTGTACTATCCGTTGGGGCGGACAAGAGAATTATTGGATTCGATGCTCATGTAGGAAGAGCAGACTTCAAGCATCAAATTGACAGCAAATGCATGAGTGTTTTGCCAAATCCACGCGACTTCAATCTTTTCATGGTTCACGCCGGGTGAGTAAACAACTCTTGATTCTTGAATCCAGAATTGTCATCAATATATTTGCTATTTGAGCTACCACAAAATAATCCCATATGCGTTTAAAATGAGGGTCATTTGTTTTTTACATATCTTTGCAAGTCAACTTAGAAAGAAGATGACTACTTAAATTAATCAGTAACAAATTCTCTTCCTTGTTTTCCCTCTCCACTCAACCAAACAATTGTCAGGAATAGGATCAACATTCTCTTCTACAACGTTTTCCCTGTCATCTATAGTATTACTTGCAATTTAATATGCCCTTAGTAAACAGCGGCGCTGACAGCATGTACTAGCTTCCATTTTGGTTTAATAACGATCGTCATTAACACGTGGCATACACAGGACTCTTGAGAGGCAACTTCGGTTGTTCGACATAAGGCTAAGGCAAACAGAAATCCATGCCTTCGGGTGGAAGCAAGAGAGCAGCGAATTGCAGTCGGCTCTGATAAACCAGTCGTGGTCTCCTGATGGGTTATACGTTACATCTGGTTCTGCAGACCCCATGATTCACATATTTGATATCAGGTACAATGTGAAGAAGCCTTCTCAATCCATCAGGGCTCATCAGAAGCGGGTTTTCAAAGCTGTGTGGCTCGAGTCGGTCCCGCTTCTTGTTTCCATATCTTCGGATCTAAACATCGGATTGCATAAAATCGCATAGATTTTTGGTATAGAAGCTACTAGTCAGCCCATAAGAGGAGTAAGAGGAAATCTTCATTTCTTTTTTCTCTTTTTGCATGGGTGTTAAAGTTTTGCTACTAGCTTTCCAGAAGGAATAGGTGCAAAGTGCTCCTTTTTTTTTTTATTCTCTCTTTTTAATTATTTTGGCAAGAAAAATCTAAGCCAAAGAAGTTCTTTCAAAGGAAAACTAAAATCTAGCCTTTGAATTTTGCCTTTGGTGGTGGTGTCTTCTTCTTCTTTTTTTTTATTTATTTAAAAACTTTGTTATTAGGTTTTTTTCATGGGATATCTCTAACTTTTTGCGATTAATAATTTTTTATGGGATGTTTGTTTTTTATATTCGTTTTTTGAATTATGATTTATGGTTCTCTTCAGTATTTTTCTCTCACAAAAAATACACGTAAAATGAGAATAATTTAAAATCATGATTCAGAATTCATAAATTAAACGTTTCACTAAGTTCGTATTTTTTTTTTTTTAACGTTTGAATTCTTTACAATTGAGGTCTAATTAAACACGCCGTTAATTTTTCAAGCAAAATCGTCATGTGCGCCCCACGTGACCCATTAATGAGGGTAATGGGTTTTCATTCAGCCAAATTGATAATTCAAAAAATAAAAAGAAAAAGAAATGAAAGAACCCAGCAGCCCCACCCTTGTTCTTCACATGTTTGCGCCCCCATCTCACCCTCCACTCTGACGACGAGGGAACCAGCAGATGCGAGGGTGTCGATCTCTCTCTCCCTCGGAGATCCGGTGCCGCGGCGGCATGGTGGGTTTTTGTGGTGGGATATGGGGTTGATTGAGAAACGTAAGGTGGTTTATTGCTTTGATTGGGTCTGAAAATTTCAATCCCAGTGTTTGTGATTGAAAGCACTGGTTGAGGATTGATGAATCTGGGTTTTACAGAGGGTTTCTTGTTCAAAAATCCTCAAACTCCCGAATGCTCTCTCTCCTCCCCCTTCTCTCTCTCTCTCCTTTCTCCGATTTGAAACCTCACTCTTCGGATTACGCCGTTCTTAAAACCCTGTCCATTTCTCTCTCTATCTTCTTTCCCTCTCTTAAATTTCCCTCCCGATCTCTTCAGATTATCTCTCCTCTCTAGTTTCGATCGTTTCTTCACATTTTAAATTCGAATGGGGGTCTTATTAAGTTCTCTGATCATAAAAACCGTTAAAACTCATAAAAAAAGACACGATATTCTTCTTAACTTTTGAGTACTTAAACTCAAAAAGAAAAAGACACGACTTTCTTTTTAACTTAAACTCAAAAGAAAAAGACACGGCTTTCTTTTTTTTCACTGTTTTGGGTTATCCTTGGATTTGTTTCGAATTTTTTTTTTTTTTTTTTCTGAAATTGATAAATCTAGGTGTGTTCTTGTTTGCAACTTGAAGAAATGCATATATGTTCATCAGAGAGAGAGAGAACCCGGATTGTTGAAGGAATCCAGACCTGGGTTTCTAATTTGTTTTTTTGTTTTTTCTGAAAAAGGGTTTGTTTCTTCAATAAAAGTCATTTGCCGTTTTCAATTGCAAAGAATTTTAAACGTTAAGAAGCCGATTGTCAAAAGAAAAAAATAAAGTTTTAAGAATTAAATTGCCAATTGCCAAAAGTTAAGGAGAGTTTTATGAAAAAAAAAAAAAAAAGCCTTGTTTTTAAGAGTTTGTTTGATGGGAGGATTAAGAGTATGTTTGGTAGGAAAGAAAAGTAGAAGGAAGGAAAAAAATGGAGGGATTTTGAGAGAAAAAATGAAAATGTAGGTTGTTTGGTAGGAGAGAAAAGAGAAAGGAAGAGAAAATAGAGTGAAAAATAATACATATGGGTCCCATTATTTTTATTTCTTTCCATAAGTGGGCAGAAAATGGGATGAAAAATGGGGACAACTCATTAAAGTGAGCAACGTTATTAAATTACCCTTTTCTCCATCAACATCAAAGTAAAAAATTTAAGGGTATAAAAGTAATTTACGAGTAAGATTTTTTCTTTCTTCTTAATTTAACTTCTAATACCAAACAAATGAAAGTAAGCTCATTTTCTTTCTATCTTCTCATACTAAATAACATAAAAGAAAATCAATTTTCTTTTCATTATTACTATTTTTTATCACTTTCATATTTTTTTTCTATACTATTTTTTTTTCTTCCTACCAAACATAGCAAGAGAAGATGTTTAGGAGAGAAAAGATGAGGGAACGGTTGGATAATGGATTTCAAATCCATCCAAGAGCCCGATTCTAATCTCTCCCGTTATGGAAGTTTTAGGGTGGAATTCATACTAACATAAGAAAAAGGTCGTTCCCATTTTCGTCACCTAAATTATATATATATATATATATATATATATATATATTCCTTTATATTTTCGCACCCTTTTACCAACATTGCCTTAACTTTCAACATTGATAGTGGTTGTGGAACGATCACCATGCTTAAAAGTCAACAAGAAGTGATGCTAACGGTGTCTACTATTCAAATGCCTTGGAATTTTTACTATTTAGTATTTTTAAAAGAAAAATAGATTGAGAAACAAAATTGAAATTTTGAACACTTTGAGGTCCTCTTTAGTTCGCTGATTCGAGTTTTTAATTTAAATTGAGATGTGATTTTACGTAAAAAAATTTTACTGTAGTAAAAAAATTAAATGTGATTATTTTTGAGAGTTTTTTACTGTAGTAAAACTTAAATCAATATAGTAAACGGGCCTGAGTTTATGAAAATATTCATATCTGTCCCCAACTTATAAAGTCTTGCACTTGGGTCACCAATTGTTAATTGTGTTGAGGGTAAGGAAGTCGTCAGACTAACAAAACAGCACAGCATGTGAGGGGTCCACTTTTTTTTTATTTTAATTTTTATAAAATTAGTTATCAAAAATTCAAAATAGTGAGGAAAAGAATTAATCCGTCATCAAAGTTTAGGATCAAAAAATCGAATGAGCTCCACGGTCAAATTTAGGTTAAAAGAAAAAAAAAATGTACCAACTCCACAGTCAACTGCTTTAAACTTTTATCTAGGATTAAATTGTTTATTGTAATAATTGTCTATGATTGATCAATAATAATGATGTTTCTCGGCCCCGTTCATTTTGTCGATTTGAGTTTAAAATTCGAGTTTTGCTACAGTAAAAAGCTCTCAGAAATAGTCACATCTAACTTTTTTACTACAGTAAAAAACTCTCACACAAAATCAAAACTTAACTCGAATCAAACAGGCCCAAAAATTGGCATACTTCTAAACATCGATGTACGCCTTTAAGGTAGTCACTAGAGAGATTGCCCTCCTGGCAGAACAAATTTTTTTTATTTTTTTATTTATTTTTGCCACTTAATTATTACATATTTCCGGTCTAATCTACAATAAATGAGAGTATTTTGATCTCGTATGGTGCAATATTTTTAATGTGTGTACAAGGTAATCAAATAGCTAATAAAACTTGTTTTTATACCCATCAATCCATAATATTCCCAATTCCAAACTCGAAGAGTGACATCAATTTTCAGAAAGGCCTAATCCTCCTAACCTACACATTCCATCCCATCATTTTTCCAAATTAAAAAAAAAAAATCCTATCATTTTATTATTTGGATATTGTGTAGACTAGTTTTAGGTTGATTTTGGCATCTCTATTTCTTTGTTTCTTTAAGTTTTTTGTTTGTTTGTTTGTTTACTTACTAAATTAATTATGAAATAATTCCTCTTAGGTGGGGTAAATTAAGCGTCGTTCAAAAGAGTGATAAAATTATTAAATCAAACAACAAACGCATTTTTTTTGAAATAAAATCAGTTTGATATCCTATATTATAACGAAACATGCTTTTGATATCATGCGTTTTTTTATAATTTTAAAATGGTACATTCATGTTTTTAAAAACATATTATGGATACCCTAAAATTAATTTTTAAAATATGTAATGTCCAAACTACTCTTTTTATCAATTAAATAGAAATCAATATTTTAAAAAAATCTAAAAATATTTTAAAATATTTTAAAAAATAACAAAATAAAAAAGTTCATGATTTTTTTCTTTGATCTTTTAGTTTGATTAATTAAATAAAAGGGTATTAAGATCATGGAATGGTCTTTAATCCGGCACCTAGAAAAGTATCGGATGAGTCAGCCAGTAAATCACATTTACAACTCTACCCTTCTGAAATTATATATCATATTTCACATATTGACACACTCCTTGAGCCTTCAACATTTGTCAACAATTTTCCTGACACCCACTGCATCTGTGCATCACTCCCCACCTCACTAACACCTGGACACCGCATGCTTATCATAAAGTGACTAAGGCCACCTTTTACTCCTCCTCCATTAATTTCTGACTGTCTATTTTAATCCGACGTCTCTCATTTTTCTGACCAGAGACTAAACAAATGTGAAACCCAATTAAAAAAAAAAAAAACTCTTTCTCTGGACAAAATAAAGAGAGGCTTGATTAGCCAAAAAAAAAGTGTGAGGCTTAATCGTTTATGAAGGGAGAAAGAGCTTAGTAAAAACAACAGCTTTTATAGTTTTACAGTAGGTGAAAAATGTAAGGATTGTGTATGTAAAAATTTATTATTTTTTAACATCGTTTTTATTTTATTTTATTTTTAAACATGAAAAATAAAGAAAATCATAAAAAATAAAATATTCATCAAAAAAATGGTGGCGCTTATTGCATTAATTGCTAAAAATCATATATTAATTTTAGAATGTAAAAACTAAATAAAACTGTAAATTTTTTACCCATCCCGGCCCCTGAGCTGGTCCTTGGGCGCCCCACTACGCAATCCGGGGGCTTTTTGACAGGTTTTACTTTTTTTTTTGTCATTTTGGAGGCAATTTTTTTCTGACATGTCTAGAAAAATGTAAGGATTGTGTCTGCAAAATTTCATTATTTTTTGACGTCGTTTTTATTTTATTATATTTTTTAAAGACGAAAAATAAAAAAATCATAAAAAATAGAATATTCATCAAAAAATGGTGTCGCTTGTTGCATTAATTCTTAAAAATCATGTATTAATTTTAGAATGGAAAACATAAATAAAAATGTAAATTTTAGTATTTTATATTATATCGAAATATGCTCTTAGTATTTTGTATTTTTAATAATATTAAAACAGTGTTTTAATCTTTTTAAAAATATCTTTTTGATACTTTAAAACTAATTTTTAGGACATGTAATGTCTAAATTACTTTTCTTATCAGTTAAATAAAAATCAATATCTAGTATATATAATAAATGTGATGAAGCAAGCACGTGTCAACTAATTTTTATCTCTTTATAGTACCCTTAACTATTTATATTTTTTACTTATTTGTTATCTATTATTTTCTCTTATTTATGGCTTAAAAAACGGTTTAATTTGTGTTTCTCTTTATGCCCTTCATTTTTTGTACTTTTTACTTACTTAATATCTACTATTTCTCGTACTTAAGGCTTAAGAAAAACCCGGTTTAATTTGTGTTTCCATTTATGTCCTTCACCTTTCATATATTTTTACTTATTTGTTATCTACTATTTTCTCTTACTTAGGGCTTAAGAAAAAAAAAAGGGTTTAATTTGTGTTTCCATTTATGTTATTTACCTTGTGTACTTTTTATTTACATGTTATGTACTAGTTTTGTGTTTCTATTTATGCCCTTATCAATTTTTGTATTTTTAATCTACTTGTTATCTATTTATGCCCTTATTAATTTTTGTATTTTTAATCTACTTGTTATCTATTGTTTTCTCTTACTTAAGTCTTAAGAAAAAATGTTTTAATTTGTGTTTCCTTCTATGTTCTTCACTTTTTGTACTTTTTACTTATTTGTTATCTACTGTTTTCTCTTACTTAGAGCTTCAAAAAAGTGGTCAAATTAAATAATATTTGAATTACGTTCTGAACATGGCTTCCGAATCTACAAAACTCACCCATCAAAATAAGCTGTGCGGTCTAAATGTTAAGAAATATAATAGAGTATGACGATTAGTTAGAACTTATTTGTTTACATCATAAAATTATTTTTGTAATAGACAATAAATATAACAGTTAAATTCATGCAATTGCACGTGCCTACTTTTACTAGTTTCTTAAAAAAATGAAAATATTTTAAGACATTAAAATATTTAAAGAAAAATAATAAAATAAAGAGTTCGTGATTTTTTTCTAGATTTATTAGATTTTGATTAAGTAAAAGAGTACTAAGGTCATTTTACATCTTAAAAATCAACTTCAGAGTACCAAGAATATGTTTTTAAAAACATTGAGGTATCATTTTAATATTATCAAGAACACAAGATACTAAAAGCATATTTCGCTATATACATTGTTGCTTACGTTCATTAACATGAAATATAACAAATCAGTAAATATACATATTTTTATGTTATATGTTCACTTAATTGCTATAAAAAATATATGTTTCGAGGATTAATATACATTGTCATTTCTTATAACTTAACATATACATCTTTATATGTAAATATACATACCTTACATATAAATATACACGAAAACAACAGAATTATACATCTGCCGTTTCAGTCCGGCAAACAGTAATAGCCGAATTAAAGACCTTGCCTAAGATCATTTTATATTTAAAAAAATTAACCTAAGAGTACTAAAAAGATGTTTCTGAAAATATCAAAATACCGTTTTAATATTATTAAAAAGACAAGACTGAGAACATGTTTTACTATAATCCATGATATTAAAATAATTTTTTTTTTTTTTTTTTTTTTCTAGAAAAGTGATAACCACAAACGTACTTGTTTTTTAAAAAACAATTAAAGTATCATATTTATTTCCCGTCTCAGATAAAAAAAAAAAAAAAAAGAAAACAGAAAAAAAAATACTTTGCCACCGTATCATGTTGAACTGAGACCTCTGTTTGTAAGAAAGTCCAAAAATCCTTGTTCTATCCATTTCCAACCCAAGCTTCACCAAAATAAACAAACACCATTCAATCTTCTCCTTCTTCATCACATAACCAAAAAATCCCATTTCCCACCAAAAAATGCCTTCTTCTTCTTCTTTGAACTCATAACAACAAGAACAACCAACAAAAACACCTTCTTCTTCTTCTTCAATGGATGGAACCCTTTTCCCATCTCGCCCAGTGTACCCGGTCCATGGTAGCTCCTCAAACACAAAACCCACAAATCCTCCATGGCAGCTCAACCCCACCACCCCTCTTCCTCCTCCTCCTTCCTCCTCTTTCCCCATTGACTCTCTTCTTCACCATCTCTCGTCCAATCTCCCAAAACCCCATTACTCTTCTCTCCAAATTTCCCTCAAACCCACCTCCATTTTCGTCCCCCACTTCCAATCCGATGACGGGCTTCTTGAATTCTTGACAACAAAGGGTAAGATGATCTTCAACTCCATTATAGACTTATCTTTGCATGATTTAAATGGGTTTTTTGACTCTGTGAGGAATGATTTGGTTGAGATTGATTTGATTAGTTTGTTGAAGGCTTTGGACCTTTCTGGCAACTGGGAAAAGTCTCTTTTGTTGTTTGAGTGGGTTTTGGTGAATTTGTGTCCTGATTATGTGAAGCTTAATAGTCAAGTTATTGAACTTATGGTTAGGATTTTAGGTAGAGAGTCTCAACATACTATTGCCTGTAAGCTGTTTGATGAAATTCCTGTGGAGGAATTTTCGCTCGATGTTCGAGCTTACACCACTATAATCCACGCCTACTCGCGTACCGGCAAGTATGGGCGGGCCATTGCCATTTTCGAGAGGATGAAGGAGAGTGGCTTGTCACCGACTTTGGTTACGTACAATGTGATGCTTGATGTTTACGGGAAGATGGGGCGGTCGTGGGGGAAGATTGTCGAGCTTTTGGATGAGATACGGGGTATGGGGCTTGAGTTTGATGAGTTCACTTGTAGTACTGTGATATCTGCTTGTGGGAGAGAGGGCTTGTTGAGTGAGGCGAAGGAGTTCTTTGCCGGGCTGAAGTTGCGGGGTTATGTCCCGGGAACGGTTACTTATAACTCGTTGTTACAAGTTTTTGGGAAGGCGGGGATATTTTCTGAGGCCTTGAGTATCTTGAAAGAAATGGAGGATAACAATTGCCCTGCTGACTCGGTTACCTACAATGAGCTTGTGGCCGCTTATGTGAGGGCAGGGTTTTATGAGGAAGGCGCTGCTGTGATAGACACAATGGCACAAAAGGGCGTGAAACCAAATGCTGTTACGTACACTACTGTTATAAACGCGTATGGAAAGGCGGGAAAAGAGGACAAGGCTTTGAGGCTGTTCAACCAGATGAAGGAGACGGGTTGTGTCCCTAATGTTTGTACGTACAACGCTATTTTAGGGATGCTAGGTAAGAAGTTGCGGTCGGAGGAGATGATACAAATACTCTGTGACATGAAGTCAAGTGGGTGTGGCCCTAATCGGATTACCTGGAACGCGATGCTCGCCATGTGCGGTGACAAGGGCAAGCACAAGTATGTGAACCGTGTTTTTCGGGAAATGAAGAACTCTGGTTTTGAGCCGGATAGGGACACATTCAATACTTTGATAACTGCTCATGGACGGTGTGGATCAGAAATTGACGCGACACTGATGTACGATGAGATGATCAAAGCGGGGTTTAGTCCATGTGTGACGACGTACAACGCGCTTCTCAATGCACTGGCTCGGCGAGGAGACTGGAAAGCGGCTGAATCTATTCTCCTAGACATGAAAAACAAGGGGTTCAAACCTAATGAGACATCGTACTCGTTGATGCTCCAATGCCATGCAAAGGGAGGGAATCTGAAAGGGATACAGAAGATTGAAAAGGAGATTTATAGCGACCATATTTTTCCGAGCTGGGTTCTTTTGAGAACACTCATTCTTGTGAACTTCAAGTGTAGATCCCTAAAGGGCATGGAAAGGGCATTTCAGCATTTGCAAAAGAACGGATACAAACCTGACCTGGTCTTGTTTAATTCTATGCTATCGATTTTCGCGAGAAACAACCTGCACGACCGAGCCCACGAGATGCTGCACTTGATCGGCGAGAATGGCCTGCAGCCTGATCTTGTCACCTACAATAGCTTGATGGACATGTACGCAAGACGGGGCGCGTGTTGGAAGGCGGAAGAAATCCTCAAGGGGATACAAGAATCCGGGGGGAAACCGGACCTTATCTCCTATAATATTGTCATCAAGGGATTTTGCAAGCAAGGGCTTATGCAAGAGGCCATAAGGGTTCTCTCCGAGATGACGACAAGTGGGATCAGGCCGTGTATTTTTACATACAACACGTTCGTGACGGGCTATGTGGGGAGGGGGATGTTTTCGGAGGTCGACGAAGTAATTAGGTACATGATTGAGAACAATTGCAGGCCAAATGAGCTGACATACAAGATTGTGGTAGATGGTTATTGCAAAGCAGGAAGGTACAAAGAAGCAATGGACTTTGTCTCAAATATTAAGGAGGTTGACAATTCTTTTGATGACCATTCTGTACAAAGACTTGCTTCAAGAATTAGGGAAAAGTTGGACTCCTGAATTTGTTACTATCTCTAGTAATTATGGCCTTTTTTTTTTTTTTTTTTTTTTTTTTTTTTTAATGGAATATGTGTATATGTTGGCAAGTCAACAATGAAACAAGTTTTATAGGCAATTGTTCTGTATTCTTTTCTCGGCCAAACTTGTTTTCTAATAAAGAATAAAAATATCATTTGTTGTATATCCATACTTCCCTGTCTTTTATTTGCGAGAAGTATGAGTTAAACTAAAATTTTGAATTGAACTAGTAGTGTAATTTTTTTAATATTTTTTTTTCTTATTTACCTTTTCAAATCTATTTGTATCATTTTTTTTTTTTTTTTTGGTTTCTTCCCTCGTGTATATCACGGTTATAAGTGCAAAATATATGAACTTTAATTTATTTGTGTATGTAAATTTACAGTCACGGGATATAATTAAAAGCTAAGATTAATGGCGTAATTGAAAATTGATAAATTTACTACATAGGTTTTTATGATTAATCTGTATATACTTCCCATGTCATTCATCAGCTAGAAGTTTGACCTTTTAAGAATGTGCGCATAATTTTTCTAAACCACCGGTGGTAGAAATTAAGGGGATGTTTGTTTATTTATCCGTCTCTGATTCTAAATCATGGTTCATGATTTTCTACACTGTTTTTTTCTTATAAAAAATTTAAATTTAAAAAATCAGATTTATGAATTATGATTCTGAATCTATGAACTAAACGTTATTTAAATAAAGTTTTTCCATGCCATAAATTTAAATTTCCATGCAATAGGCAGTGTATAGTAACTATTTGCTCCAAAATGGCTGAATTTCCTTGCTAGAGAATTGGAGAAACTTTATGGCTTTCTAAATCGAAAGTTACTATTTGAAATATCAATGACTCTTTAAAATTAATAATTACAAACTAGACTTTTCAAAAGAAGAAGAAAAAATTGAGAACCTTAAGGGTGGGGCTGTTCTTTCGTATTGGAATCTAACTTATGGCACTAATGTTAGAATAAATTTGGTCATCTTATTTTGCAATTCCAACGTTTAAGTCGTCAAGTAAATCATTTTTCTTGTACACTCAGGGGATGTTTGGTTTGAAGATTTAAACCGTGATTTGAATTATGATTCATGATTCATTATAGTGTTTTCTCTCATAAAAAATACACATAAATAAAAAATAATTCTAATTACATGATTCTAATTCATGAACCAAACGTCTCTTCAGTATAAATTTCTCCTTATGTTTGTAAAGTTCACATATTTTATCCTCACTTTTACATCTAGAACTGTACATTTTACTTCTCACATGAACATTAAAACATCCCCACTTTAGCCTAAGACTGCTTAGTCTAATGGCACCGGAGGGTTCTGGTCGTGTGGGGTGGAGTGGGTTGCGGATTGGATCATGAATTATATATATATATAATTCACTTTAAAACTTGTATTAGTTGTTCACAATATTTTCATTCCATACTAATATTTTTGTTGGTCATTAGTAAAATTAAAGATCACAATGTCTCGTTAATTAAGCTCTTTCGAGATATAAAAGTCCTATATTCATTAATAGTTTGAGTTTGAGTATATAAAATAAACATGCGATTTAAGTTTCTGTTGTTAGTTTTATAAGAAACTCTAAACTCTCGAATTGTCGTCCTCTACATGATTCTCGTCCTTTGTTTTAGTTTCTTTCAATTATCGTGGGTGGTTTCCATCATTAGAAATAACCAATAATTTATTAATTAAGGACGTGTTTATCAATTCAAAATGGATTGTTAAAATATTTGATTTAAGTATATACTTACGCATTAGGAATTAGTATTACATTACTATTTGAGCACGTACTTCCATATAAATGAAAGAAAAAAATATTGATTAATCTATTTAAGTTCAGAACAACGATGTACATCATGAAAAAAAAAATTGTACTGTATCATGAATGCACACATGTTGGATGGGTTTTGACCGTAATATTACAAGTAAAACTAAAACTTTATATATGCGTACTGGAGCACTATATTAAATCAAAATAAAGTATGTTTGTATTAATTGTTATCCATCTTCACAACAATTTATTCATAATTTATCAAACACTAAAATTTTACTTTTTTTTTTATTATTCACAACAATTTTGAATAAAAAAAAGAAAAAAAAGATAAATAACATTTTTCATAAAATATTTATGATAAATAGTATATTTTAAAAGATTTATAATAAATAACATATTTACGATAAACTATACATTTATGACACATATTCACAATAAATTTATTTTGTAAATTTACTTGGTAAATGAATCATTTACAGTAAATATGTTATTTTCCATAACTACTTATAAATATGTTAATAATTATAAATATTTTAAAAAATAACCTATTTGCTATAATTTCAGAAAAAAGTAAAAAAACTAAATGTCTACTAAATTTAGTCCTAGTATTTTTGACTAACAACATAACAAATATTCTAACAGAATAACAATTCTAAATTGACCCAAAGATGTGGTGACACAAAATTAATTGGAAGATATTGAAATAAGAAAGATAGACATGATCTAATAGTGCTCAATGAATTTTCATCGCATTGATGTCTTTCACATGGAAATTTTTGGGAAATTGTGCTGGGTGGCCCTTTTTTACTCTTTTTTATTTTTATTTTTTATAAATGGCTGAACTTTTTTATTTTATGAAAATGGTTGTTTTGTTTACGTGAGTTAATTAATGATTGACTTATGAATCACAATTAATTAGTGATTGACTCACGCTTACTTATTAATTTATCAATGGTTTATCATTAATAAACATGTAATTTGTTAATTAAAGTTGATTATTTACTAATTGATTTTAGTTAATTATTAACTAATGTTGATTAATAATAAATAATAATGGAGTTAATTAATGATAAACTAGAGTCAATCATGATTGATCGCTAAATAAATTAGTAATTGACCGCTAAGTTAATTAATAATTGACCACTAAATTAATAAAAATGATTATTTTTGTAATTTTATAAAACTTCGGCTATTTATAAAAGAACATTCTTTAAAAAAAAGCCAATTGTGCTGAAATCCCATAATTTTTTCAGACATGATAAAAGATTTATATGAGATTATTAGGATTAGCATTACATCAAAACGACCAAAGATCAATCTTTTAGATACGGGGGTGATAATGCAAACAATTTTCGCTAGCAGTAATTATTTAATTCAATTCTAGAATCGGCTATATCTAGACAAACAAAATTTGCAATATTTCAAGGTACTATTTCTCGAGGGTGTGGCTACGAATATTTGTTATTTCTTTTTCCTTTTAATATCCCTGCATTTATTTATTAAATTAATATGCAACTTTAAATCCTAAGATTCAAAACACCTGTTAAATGTTTGCCGTTCTAAATGATATTCAATTTTCAACTAATTATATTACGCCACGTTATTTAATAGATCCTAATATTAAAATATGAAATAGCCAGAGTATCGATCATTGGCCTTAGACCTCTTTGATTTTCAGAATCATTTTGTTGGATCATCAATAATTCAATTGAAGGCTTTGCTTGCCTTTAGGAGCTTGGTGATTAAATCTGTATATTAAATTTACTTTGAGATTTGATGAATTCAAGTTTATATTTATCATTTGAGGTGTACATTGATGTGTTCTGAAAAAAAAAAAAAAATTTGTTTGCAAGATTGGCAGATGGTGAAGTATGCTTTCATAGAGGATTTCATGTGAGCTAAATCTGGTAAGTCTTTATAAAAGGTGTTCAAACTTTTTTGGCCTTTTTTTTAATAAATCTTGAGTTTAATAAGTTAATTTTAAGTGTTTGAAAGTTAGATTTGTGTTGGGATTTGTTTCCTGAATTTTGTATTGATTGTTGGGATTTGTTTCCCAAATTTTGTATTGATTCTATTCGTTGTGTGATTGGCATTATTTTAGGAATGATTGGCTGGTTAATTGTGGTTGAGATTAGATGTGCAGTTGTCAAGTTATGGAAGTTTTTTTGAAAGATCTAGAAACTTATCTTAGTTTCTATTTTTCAAAGTCAACTATTGATCCAAGATGGTAGGTTGATTTGATTGATATTTGATGGAGATTTCGTAGCTGGATGATCTTCCTCTGTCTCCTAATAACGTGTCTAGGTTCATATAACAGTTTCAGAAAAGTTTCAGCAAATAGCAGATTGATACGGACTGGTTTTGAGAGAGTTGACCGTGATAGTTATGTTGTAATTATTGTTGCAACAAGAATCTGCAACAGATTTGGTTTAGCGAATTAATTGAAGAGGTCGTCAAGCTGTTATCATTTTTACTTATTTATTCAAAGAGTCTCTTATATCTCTGTATACCTTCAGATTAGTTTTGCTGGGTTGTGAGAGAGGTGAGCACTTGTATTCAAGAGAGATGAATTGAGTATTTTTGAGAGAAAAACTTAGTTGGAGGGATTCTAATGTTAAAAAGTCGAGGGGATCTCGCTATACAAGTCCATTGAGAAATTGCAAGTTCATAGGCGTCTTCTTAGAGAGTGAGTCTCGGGTATATTAAGTCCAATTGAATTCTAAAAGAGTTCTTAGTGGATTGTTCATCATCTAGGCGTGGCCCCGTGGAGTAGGTTGTTACCGAACCGCAATACCATTTCTCTCGTGTTTTTTTATTTTACGTTTCTTCATTATTTATATTATCTTATAAAGTGTTAAAAAGACTCAAACCGGTACCAACAATTTGTGTTTTGGTTCATTTTATATTTTTTTGTTGGCCAGGTTGTCCATATGGTTTCAAACTTTCAACTAGATAGAAAGACTAGGAACCCTTGTATCACGAAAATAGGGATTATTATTAAGATTTAGGTCCCGTTCATTTTACCGATTTGAGTTTAGAATTCGAGTTTTGCTACAGTAAAAAACTCTCAGAAATCATCACATTTAACTTTTTTACTACTGTAAAAAGCTCTAACATAAAGTCACATCTCAACTCGAATTAAAAACTCGAATAAGGGGCCTTAAGCTTGTATCAAGAAGTGTGCCTGCTCCTCAGGTGCAAATTTCCATATCTTCCGTACTAGTATTTTC